CCCCCCCCCCCCCATCTCTCTGATCTGCTACAACCGTATGTCTCACCACGCTCCCTGAGGTCAGCGGACCAGTTGCTCCTCACAGTTCCAGGAACTCGTCTTAAGCGCAGAGGTGACAGGGCCTTCGCTGTAGCAGGACCAAGACTTTGGAACGAGTTACCTCTGCTTGTCAGACAGGCCCCTTCTCTCTCAGTTTTCAAGTCCCGTTTAAAAACCCACTACTATTCAGTAGCTTTCAACACCAGATGATCTGTGTTTTGATCCTGTATGCTCCACACTGGTTTGTCGTCATTATCTGCATCGTTTTTATGTCTATGTTCTGATTTACTTCATTTTGTGTATTGCTTTGTGTGTTACCTGTCGTTTTGTCTGTACAGCACTTTGGTTGGCCTTGTCGCTGTTTTAAGTGCTCTATAAATAAAGTGGCATGGTATAGGTAGCGTTAAAGATCGATGACATTCAGTCATTCTAATACATGAAAAGGAGGTTAGTATTTGTTTCCCTACAACTCCATGGTCCAACTGATGGCTCTTGGAACGAAGCGAACATTAAACATTATGGCATGAAATGCTACATTCAGTGTCGTTCAGCGTTTATCTAAAGTGATTCAAGTGTTCAACATGAGTACAAAGTGGGCCGAGACGGATCTGATGTTAGCAAGATGAATATAAAGGGATATGTGCTGACGGCTTCTTTTTCTACCTAAAAATAAATCTGGGTACGAACTGACCAGAAAGTTAAATTTAACAGAGGTACCAATAGACCTGCTGCTGTTCTGAACTAGCTCTAGAACTAATTTGGAGAACCTTCTCCATTGTGGACTTTTAATTTTTTTGCACCCAGAACACTTAAAACACCAGGAACACACGACAGACAATGGCTCGGTTTAGTTTGTCCCTTCTGTGCTGCCGTAGTAACACGATGCTTTTGGTATTCATTTTTTTAAACTTAAGTAATTGCTGTTGAGCAATAAAATGAAAATGATTCCTACTTTCACGACATTCTGCTGTAATAAAAACAAAGATAAAGCAGTTCTTGTAAATATTTCCAAAAAGATAAAAAATAAACTTTGTTCAGCTGTTAACAGCAGATCTCCATCATGTCTTTTCAATCACGACTAAGGGTGTAGGAATCTCTGCAGAGACGAGATAGAATTAAAAGATGAGTTTACTGGTGCAAAAACACATTTATGCTGACTTTTCTGTTGATTTTCTACATCAGCACCCACCTGTAAGAAGAGCAGGTTGTCTTCAGTCTGTAAAAGTTGCTCCAGCTCCGTGTTTTTCTCCTGCAGCTCAGTGATTTCTCCTTCCAGCTGTTCAAGGAGCTTTGTGTTTTGCATCCACGCTGCTTGTGGGCTTTCTCCACCGATGTCTCCAGACAGCTTAATTTCATGAACTTTACTCCGCCTAGTGTGAATTTCTTGCTGAAGTTTACTCCGTCTTCGTTTCAGTATCCCCTGTTGGAGGAAACGGAACAATAGAAAAAATAAAAAGCTTTTTTAATGGTTGTACTGTTCAAATTATGAAGTGTTTTGCAATTCTGACAATCCTACACCACTCTGTCTTTTACAACTGATGAGACCTTTGAGCCACGCACATACCTGTATGTCTCACCTCCTCTGCAAGCGTTTAAAGAGATAGTTCAGTCAACTTGGAAATGGTGTTCTGTCCAATAGTTATCACTAATTAAAATCTTATCAGTTGTGAGAGCAGTCATAAAGCAGAGTATGGAGAAAGAGATAAAAGTCTTTGTCCAGGCTAGGTTAGTGGCTATAGCCAAATAAGGGCAGGTCTTCATCACTTTGCAAGCTTATAGAACAACTTTTCTTTTAAAAAACAACAAAACAGCATGAAAGGGTGCTATATTAGCTAATGATCATCTACGGTTTCAGACTGTGTCCAGTGTTTCCCCTAACATTATGCAAGCGGGGTGCCCCACCCCGTCAACAGAACTGAGCACCCCGCCTATCAAACAGAGCCCCCCCCCCCCCCCCCCCCAGGCACTGACATAGCACTAAGCTAGTGGTGCAAAATACAGGCTCTCTAGCTAAAGGTGCATCTTCTCTCATGCTGCCCCCCCCCCCCCCCAACTCAAAAACTGTTGGCACAAGCTACGCTCAGACATGTCTTCGTCCCCCCGCCAACAAAAATCATGGATGAGATGAGCACCCCGCCATGGCAAGTTAACTAGACACTGTCTATTGTCGCGATATGTGACAAACGGGCCTGCCGTAGCCCGGGAGTCTGTGAGCATGCGCAGTACGTCCTGTGAAGAGTTGAAAATAAATGGAGAGTTCTCCAAGCTGCACTATCGGAGTCCAAGTACTTCTTCATAAAAGTAATTGTTTATGACATGGTGTCAGAAGTGGCCAACAGGACGCCTACATTCGGACCGCCAGAACCCTTCGACTTCTCCCGCCCGGCGGATTGGGCTCTGTGGCGCCGTCGCTTTGACCGTTTCAGAGTGGCATCAAAGCTGGACAGAAGTACAGGTTAACACGCTTCTCTAAGCCGTGGGGAGAAAGGCAGAGGCTATTTACGACTCTTTTGTGTACGAGGGAGAGAACTACGAAGAAGCGTCAGATGATGAAACCGCAGAAACTCATCCTGAGGTGGACTACATGACGGTATCGGCGAAATTTAGTGACCGTTTTGTGCCTAAAGGGAACATTGTTCATGAAAGAGCTTGCTTTCATAAGAGAGTACAGAAAGCAGGAGAGCCGGTCGAAGCGTTTGTTCCAAGTTTATACGAGCTGGCACAGTACTGTGAGTTCGGAGGGACCAAAGATGAACAAATTCGAGACAGTACTGTGATCAGCATACTGGACCGTGATGTCTCCCAAAAGTTGCAGCTCGAGGCAGACCTTACGCTTGAAAGAGCTATTCAAATAGCACGCCGGGCCGGAGTGAAGAAATCACGCAGTAGAGCGCGAGTCTGTGTGTGGAACATGCTGTGGACGGCATGAGTCAAGGGAGACGGCATTTTCACTCGAAGGGCAACAATGATGCACAATGGCGGAGAAAACAAGAACTCAGTGGGTCCAAACATTCTGTTCCATGCTTCTGCTGTAATACAGTGGTCCCCAACCACCGGGCCGTGGACCGGTCCCGGGCCGTGGGTCAATTTATACTGGGCCGCACACTGAAAAAAAAACTTTTATTTTGAAAAATCACCAGATTATCTCCACCACATCTGTCAATGACTCACTCTTGACGCAGGTCAACATACACATGGTAAGTTTCAGTTTCTGTTAGATGCATGTGCAGATTGGTTCTACATTGCCCGTTCGGGTGGAGTAATTTAGCTGCTGGTCTGGAGCAGACAGGATAGGAGGAGGCGCGTGTGCCGTGTGTGCGCATTTGAAGGATCACTGCGTATTTTTCAACCCGCCTGACAAAGAGTGACTGTAAAACTTTGACTAAATAAAACTATAATTTTAAACAAAGCTTAATATCACATCAGAGCTGGTTTTGTCTTCACATCAGAGCTGGTCCTTCGCATTTCTGCTTCTGCTCTTAAAAAATATATCCGCCCCTATAAGTTCAAAGTCATGGGCAATTTTATTTAAAAAACTCCACTAATATAATTAAAGTTTTGCACTATGCATAAGTTCCTGCGTTTTTGTGAACAATCTGATGCGTGAAGTGAATCACTGCGGAGCAGGGAGGAGGATGACGATGCTCGGCTGACTCCAGTGTGGGATCTACTAATTAAATGAGGAATGATCCTGCACTTAATACACTTGTAAATCACACATAAAGTGATTAAAAGTACATTTGAAATACATGTGCTGGTCATAAAATTAGAATGTTGTGAAAAAGTTGATTTATTTCAGTAATTCCATTCGTGAAACTTGTATTCGCTACACACAGACTGATATATTTAAAATGTTTGTTTCTTTTAATGTTGATGTTTATAACTGACAATTAAGAAACTGACAAATCAGCTAATTCAATTTGTCCTGAAGAGCTGCAGCGGTTTTGCAGTCAAATTCTCTGGGGTAGTATTCTCAGACCGTCCCCCCGGTCTGTGAAAATATAGTCTGACACTGAACCGGTCTGTGGCGCAATAAAGGTTGGGGACCACTGCTGTAATAGACAACATGGAAAACCATAGCCCTGCTCAGCTAAGAACAAGAGTGCAGAAAATGCAATAAAATGGGACTTTTTGAAGTAATCTGTAAAACAAAAAATACTTAAAGAGGTGACAGGCAGCTGCTCGCAGCAGCATACAGACCCATGATGGATGGATGGATGGTTGCGTAAAGTAAAAGATACAACAGTTTCAGAACTTTCTTTTACATTCCAGGTTGAGAGGCAACAAAGAAAATGTTAAGGAGGAGAATACTTTTACAAACCAACAAGACCGCCTAGTTGCAATGGCTTTGCACACTAAAGACTCATGGATTCAACCTTTAATTTGATAGAGAGACTATAAATGATGGGTCACTTTCTCACCCTGCAACCTAAAAAAAGTAAATAGCCCAATATTTTTATTTATTGTATTTCTTCCATAAAGCCTTACCTTCTTTTTTGCTGCCTCTCTGTTAATAGAAATAATGCGATGTCCTCTGTGGTCTATCTCAGCACACTTTGTGCAAATACAGGTTTGGTCGCTCTTGCAGAACAGTCCTAATGGCCTCTCGTGCATTCTGCACACAGAGTCATCCAAGTTCTTCATCACATTGATCAGTTGGTGGCGTCGAAGATCTTCCGACTGGTAATGTGGCTGCAGATGAGCAGTGCAGTAAGAGGCCAAGCATGTCAGACAGGACCTGACTGCGGCTTGTTCCTCCGAACAGAAATCACAAGGGACCTCTCCAGCTCTTAGAGGTACTGTCTTAGCAAGACTCTGTAGTGTTTGGTTGGTTTTCAACTCTAGTCTTTCTGGAAAGTCTGCCTTGCAGAGCGGGCACTGGCAGGCATCATTGATCCTCCAGTATTCTCCTATACATTCCAGGCAGAAGACGTGTCCACAAGGGAGGGTGGTGGGGCTGGTGAACTCATCCAGGCAGATGCAGCATGTAGGAGGCTCCGACATTAGGTCAAAACTGTCTGTTGTGGCATCCAACCTGTGCAGAAATGATTTTACATGACACTGATGGCATGATACGGTTTGTCTATAGAGCACCAATGACTGTATAGATTATGCACATACAACACTATTTACACACAAATGAGTACTTTTTGAAAAATGAAAATAAATCTGAACAATTTTCTTAGAACAAAACTATAGACACGAGGAGGACAAGTGGATTTAATGAAGATAATTTGAAAAAAAAAGTGTTGGCGGCAACAGGAAGTGCACACTGTACATATTTTGAGTTATTACTGATCTGAGAGGTTTGGTTTTGCTGTAAAACAAAACTGAATCAGTTACGTATTTAATGAGGAAGTCAGAACAGTGGTTCAGGTGTTACATATTAGAATCAGCTTTATTGGGTAATAATGTTTTGTCCCATGTCTGTATGCACAATTGCGACAGCCAACAAACCTTACAAAACACACAAACGAGTATAACGTTACCAGTTTTCCAGATATTGAGCTAAAACTTGGTGTGGCAACACTCTGATGTTATGTTGGGTTGTTATTGTGGCACCACTCTGTCAAGACTTTGTCCCTACAGGCTGATTCAATGCTGTTTGTTATGAGCCCTACAATGGTGGTGTCGTCAGCGATCTTGATGCTAAAGGCAGTGCTCCAAATAATGGTTCAGTTTGCACAGAGTACTACCAAGAGGACAAACAGACATGGCCCTCTTTACTTCAACCATAAGCATGCTTACAGAGCAGTCCCTCTTCCACACATAGGTCTCTTGTTTCCTCCTCCTCTTACCGGCACACCCTGCACCAGAGGCCAACCAAGCCGAGCACTAAAACTATCGCTACCTGGCCAGAGGATGTACTCTAACAGTTTTAGGACTGCTTCACGCTGACAGATTGGTCTAGTTTTGAACACTGGGTCTTAAAGGAATACACTGAATTTGTTTCGTCTTGTATCACATGTTACACAGATGGTGTGACTGTGAGTCAACACACCGGAGTATATCCCAACTGCACTGAAAGCACCCAATTCTGCCTCAGGACTGGAGATAAGGCATAGCAAGGGCTGGGTTGAAGAAGTATCAAAGCAGGTAAGGAGGAAAACAGAGGACCATCTAGTTTACAATAACCCACAGCAGGTCTGTGTCTTCAGCAGATTTCCAACTTCAGGTCTAAACTACCTTAGACAGTTAGTGTAAACTTCTTGCTGGGAGAGGTAGAACACCTGGAGAGCTGGTGGAAAGAGAATAACTTTCACATCAATGTGAAGAAGACAAAGGAGATGATTGTGGACTTCAGAAGGAACAAACACACCTACATCCCCTGAACATAAGAGGATCTGCAGTGGAAGTGGTCTCCAGCTACAAGTACTTGGGTGTACACATGAATGACAACCTCATCTGGAGCAACAACACCATCAGCCTGATCAAGAAAGCTCATCAGAGACTCTACTTCCTCAGACGGCTGAGGCGAGCTGGTCTGGGAAGCTCAGTCCTCACCTCCTTCTACAGGTGTGCAGTGGAGAGCATCCTGTGCTCGAGCATCAACGTGTGGCATGGAGGCTGCACAGCTGCAGAAAGAAAAGCTTTGCAGAGAGTGGTGAAGGCTGCACAGAAGACTGTTGGAGTCAGTCTCTCCACCATCACAGACATCTACACCTTCAGATGCAGGGAGAGGGCCACCTGCATCATGAAGGACCCCACTCACCCAGCACACACAATTTTTGCCTCGCTCCCCTCAGGCAGGAGGTTGAGGAGCATTAAGTGTAGAACCACTAGACTGAGGAACAGCTTCTACCCTGAGGCTGTTAGACTCATGAATCTCTAACTAGAATAATCACTGTGAAAAACCACATCATGTTGCTGCTGATCTGTTTCATGTTGCTGCTGATCTGTTTCATGTTGCTGTGTTCATCCACTCACACAGACTCATGTTCGTGCTGCTGTTCGACGTAATGTTTTTATGTTATGAGTGCTTAGTGTATATTTAGTTAATGTTCTTCTTAGTTCATATCTTAGATCTTATTACTGTTTTTCTGTACATTTTATTGTTGGATGTAACTGGGACCCTGTGTACACAATTTTGTTCCACCACATGTACTGCGTGGGGTGTGAATGACAAATAAAGAACCTTGAATCCTTGCTGGCAGAGAAACGGAACTATTCATTTGCTTGCTTTGAGTTAGCGACAACACATACGCTAACACGTCCCTCCCCCTGTTGTTTACCTCATCCCACACACTCGCTCTGCAGGAACATCAGGTGAGACGTGCGTTTCTTGCGAATAAAGCTGCAGGGCCTGATGGAGAGCTTGATAAAGTACAGAAAGCATATGAAGGGTGTTCTTTTGATCACTGACAGCTAGCTTGGACATTTCCATGACATCTACTGAAAAACTTTGCTTTGTGTGATTAACTGAACATTTTTAAGTGAGAATGCCGGGAACTTTTTGAACATTGTCAAATAAGCACCCATCCATTTTCTTTCTGTTCATCAAAGTTTCAACCACACCAACACCACCTCTCTACGTATACACTGTACTTTGAGTTTAAGACATTCAATCAGAACCACCAAGCAGGAACAACAAACATAAGTAAAGAACTGAAAAGCTCAATTTCCCCAGTTGTCTCCACTATGTTAACTAATCAATACTGTAAATAAAATTACTGATCTGATTAAGCGGTCTGATTAGGGACAATGGACGACGATTAATCAAACTGGTCAGACGATCTGAAAGTTTTTAAAGAACACACCATTTCTGTCAAAGATCTTTGAATACGTTTAGCCATGACAACATAAGGATTATCCAGCTACAAGAGTCGACCAGAACAATAAAACACCTGGAGTGAATCAGTTACAGCTTTCAGTTCTGATCACAGGTATTCATGACAGAGGCGACAGTTCAAGCCCTTGCATCACATCCACCAAATCTGAAATTAAATGTAATCTCACGGATAGATGCACGGAAATAATCCAATGGAAACCATCAGTAATAGTTGTTTATGGTTTATTTATTTGTTTAATGAGAATAAACTCCTGTGTAGATTCAGTGATCATAAGTGAAAATGAAACTCAAAAGTGCAATCATGATATCACTGGGTGATCATTTTGACAGAATCCTCATTAAAAACGTGTTGTTGTTCTAATTGAAATATGAAACTCACCTTTCTTTAAACAAATGCTTCTTGCTGTCTTCCCCGGAGCTCTTCTAAGGTAAAACAACGAGTTTTAAAGGCTGACTTTCTGCGGAGAAAATGAAGGGGCGGGACTTTCTGTAGTTTCCTGGGTGCTCATAACTCAAGACATCCAGAGATAATATAACGAGCAGGACTGTCATATAAGTATATTTCAGTGAACATGTGGCTCCACCGCCTGTATAAATTGGGCAATGGCGGATTATGCCATCTCGTGATGTTAAATATTCCCTTTGAGTCCTGAGCGAATTTGCCCACGAACATCTGTTTACGTTGTGTTCCCCACTTAACTGGGGGAACACAACTCGACACAACACCGGCAGCAGGCACGCTTGGCTCTCAACCTGGCTCTGCCCGGAGCCTGATCATTAACTGGCGCATTTATTTCAGCTGAAATGTCAGCAACAACATTGTCTTTAAGATTTATAAAGGATGGCTGCGTCAGATTACTCTGTGCTGAGAAAATATAAATAGTTTTAAGAGCATAAAAGTATAGTCAAATCCGCTGATAACGCGCGCGATTAAGTGCGACTATTTAATGGACCGTGTTTCAAACATTATTTTAGGTTGATTTCGCAGTTTTACGAACATATTTCAAAAGTTTCTAAGTGAGAGGAACTGTCTTGATCATTCGGCTGACTTAGAAATACATTTAAAGGACACAGGAAGGAAATAAAGAGGAGCTGCCATAAAACTGTTACTACATGGGGAAACTGCTCACCAGTGCAAGTTACACAGGTCAATTTCTGGCAGGGCATTAATCCATCCATCCATCCATTTGACCCATTTGACTAGAGCACTTGTGTCAAACTCAAGGTCCGGGGGCAAATGTGGCCCTCGCTGACATCTTATCTAGCCCCCAAGAAGATATCCATCCATCCATCCATTTTCTTTACCCGCTTATTCCATTTTGGGTCACGGGGGTCGCTGGTGCCCATGTCCAGCAATCACTGTGCGAGGGGCGGGGTACACCCTGGACGGGTCGCAAGTCCATCACAGGGCCACATAGAGACAAACGAGACAAACAAACATTCACTCTCTCACTCACACCTAGGGACAATTTAGAGTTACCAATCAGCCTAACATGCATGTTTTTTGGACTGTGGGAGGAAACCGGAGTACCCGGAGAAAACCCACGCATGCACGGAGAGAACATGCAAACTCCACCCAGAAAGGCCCCTGGACCGGGGTTTGAACCAGGGGCGCAACTACATATTTTTGAGGTGGATGCGAACACATCATCGGCGCCCCCCCCCACCCGCTCCTTTTTACTTGCCGCCTCATACAGCTTAGTCATGCACTTAGAAAATACAGTAGTAATATTACAGATTTTTTTAATGTTACATATTATATCAGGTGATCATTTCAATCATAAACAAATAAGAAGTTTTATAAAGTACAAATATATAACAGTAGTGGTACTCAGTCAGTGCTCAACATTTTATGTAGCGGAAATATGACATCTTAACAGCCTGGAGTCCATGTCAGAGTTTTAACATTTATGACATTTAAACTGTTACATTCCGTGACTTTGCATTTGCCCATTTGTCAAGTATAACATCAAATGAAATAGACCGTGCCACACTGTTTTCAATAGAGATCACTGCTAACTGGGACAAGCGATCATTGCTCATATTTGAACGAAGGTATGTTTTGATGAGCTTCAGCTTGCTAAATGATCTCTCTGCAGATGCAACTGTCAGAGGCATGGTTAAAAATACTCTAAGGGCTACTGTCAAATTTGGAAATACCAAATCAAGGTCCTCTTGAATTAGGAAATTTAACTTTTCTAGAGCCTTGTAACCCTTCAGTAGACGGCTTGCTGGGTATATTTCTTGAATGATATCTCTTGAAACATCACAAGTGGTCAGGGCATATGTGGTCACTGATTCCTCCAGCTCAGCTTTTGTCATGTGCTCCATTTTAGTGATGAATTTAAATTTCTCAGACACAAGTTGAAAATTGGAAAACCTCTCAGACAGCTCTTGGAGGAGTGTGTCAACAATAACATTGAAAACCATGCACCTGAAGTGCCTTGTGGGTTCCTTTTCATGATGACCAGTGCATGAATTGTCATCTGGGAAATTCTTTTGCTTCCTAAGTCGTTTCTCTTTGAACTTAGGAGAAGCATCCATTTCGATGGCTATTTTGCTTGCAATGTCAAGTGACTTCTGAAAGCCCTCTTCTCTATATTTGAAGATAAAACTGCTTCAGCTGAATTTTTACGTTAAAAAAAAAAAAAAACGCGCCGAGTGCGTTCTCTTAGGGGCGTGTTCACAGCCACCTGTGTGGGAAGGGAGAGCGATAGGAGGGGAGGTGAAGCAGCAGAGGGGAGGTGAAGGAGCAGAGGGGAGGTGAAGGAGCAGAGGG